CAGTACTTCTCCAGAGCAGATATAGAATAGGGTTCCCTGGGTGATCCTTTCCTGATACTCTGGGAGGTTTACCTATTTTATGCCTTGCCCTCAATCCCACTTCTGAGATTCATCAGAAACATCAAAAGGGACCATGCCTGAGTAATTCTCATAGCCCGCTCCTGGTCCAGACAGATCTGGTTTCCCTAACTCTCTCAGATGTCTTTTCAACCTCTCTATCCCCTCCCCTGCCGGCCAAACCTACTTACCCAGAATGGGTCCCTGCTGCACCCTCATCCTCAACACCATTGTGGAACTTGGAGTTGGTGTTGGATACATTATCTCAACCTCCTTTTGAACCCTTAGTGACTTGCTCATTGTGTCTCATGACCTCCAAAGTAGTTTTTCTTTTAGCAATGTCTGCTGGCAGGTTCAGTAACCTTGCAGTCCTTACAGCACTGCTATGGTACACGGTTTTTACTAAAGACAGCATTATGTTACATGCTCATCCATCTTTTTTAAACTAAAGTTGTGTTCGGACTTTCATATCAAAGAACCAATCATTGTACCTACCTTCTAACCAAAATCGCATTCATCCGCACAGGAAGCTCTCCTCCACACTTCAGATGTTAGGACGACTCTTTTTATAATAAAAAAAGAGCCTTCCGCACTTCTCAGCAACTCTGTGTCAACAGCCGAGTGATGCAAAGGCAGTCCACTCATCGCAATGCATATCTAACAGTCTCCTGTATCACACAGTGCTACACTCTACATCAACCTATCCAACCCAAAGCACACTCTACTAAGGTAGTAGCTACCTCCATGGCTTTCCTACAATGAGTTCTGCTCCGAGTTATTTGCCGTGCAGCCACATGGTCGTTGGACCATAACTTTATGAAACATTACACTATACTCCAGCATATTTCCAATAATGAGGCAGTGACCACAGCAGTGCTTTCCATTGTTAACGAAGGGTGACTCCAAAGCCAGCCATCCTTGCTTCAACTGATCACTGCTACGAAGTCACCTACAGTGAAGCACCCACAGGGACATCACTCAAAGAAGAAAAGGAAGTTATTCACCTTCTGCAGTAACAATGGTTCTTCGAGATGTGCCTCCGTGGGTGCTCCATTATCCACATTCCTCCCCTCTTCTTCAGCGGATTTCTCTTTGCTTCTCCTTTTTCAGACACTCGGCTATCCACGAAGGAATTGAGGAGGGGTCAGGCCATGCACATGAAGCACAGGGCATGAACGCCACAAGGCACCTCATGTACATGCAGAGCTCAACCAGCTAGTGCTACAGAAAACCCCCATCTTAGGCACCTCCAGTGAAGCACCCACGGGGATACACATCTCGAAGTATCATTGTTATTACATAAAAAGAGGAACTTCCTTTTCCACCTCCTAACTTGTCAGTGAGGCTGATCTGGTAAGAACGCAAAACCTTGCATAGCAGATCAGGACACTATAGATGAGCTTACACAAAACAGCTGAGATGGAATGACTACCTTCCTCAATCCTCATGTACTTACATGGGATGAAGGACAGTCCTAATTCAAGGGCACCTACCTACTCCCTCTAATGCTGGGGAGGGCAGGGGAGGCACTTGAATTATGAGAAACATCAATACGGATATACCGCCTCTCTACTAAACATTTATTTATTTAAATATTTTTATCCCGCCTTTCTATTTAAAATATTCAAAGTGGCTTACAAAAAAAACCCACAATACAAATATATATAAAATTTAAAATATGAGACCCCCAAAGGGACATAACCAGCTAAAAACATAGAGAGGAGGAACACACACATACAAACTCAAACATTAATAAAAGCATGAATAAAAAGGGTGGCTTTAGCCTGACGCCGAAACAACGCTAACATTGGCGCTGTTGCCTGTCAATTGTAAATCAAGATCTGGGACATTATAATTATAAAGGACATAAGATTTCAAAATGGAGTTTATGGACTAAAGGACATTTAAAATGGAACCCAAAGGAGCTGAGAGACTTTTGCCGCCAAAACTTAACAGCTGCACACAGCACATGGCTGTGCACACTGCACCACAGCGTTGCACACAGTGCGAAGATCTGCACTCGGCACCGATTTGTTTGCACCCAATACCATTTTGTGCACTAGAGACACTCAAGCGGTTTTCCCGCCTTGGGACCTTTATAAACTCAAGCCCCAGAGGAGATCAGGCTCTATTCCATCTCCACTCACTTGGTTTGATTCGTTCACCTGCCTGACCACTACAGCAGCCTGCCATTCCTGAGACCGTGGTGAAGGCCCAGGATATACTGTGGGACGGATCACCATCTCCAGTTGCTCTCAGGGTGCTTCGGCCCACCACTGTGGCAAATGCCCAGTACGGTGGACCCCAGCTACCTGTGTCCACAGAGTAACGCCTTTGGACTCCTCAGTGTTCCTCCCTTGAGGCTGCCAAGCAGCCAACAGGTAGCAGGTCCTGAGCCTCGGCTGTCACCTCAATCCTAGACAGACTGAGTATAGTTTATGTTCTCTTGTTAACTGTGCTATCCCCTATTATTTCAGAGGGTAAGAGGTTGGTTTTCTTTTACAGTGTTGTGTTCTGGGTTTATTCTTATGCTGTTATCTGTTGCATACAATATATTTCTTTTAAATTGGATATTGGAGTCTGCTTATTTTGGACTGGAGAAATCCGTTGGTGACAGATATGGTGGTTTCCAGGTTAGACCACCTTCTGGGACAAAGGCATTTACCATCTAGTTGGCCCCTCACCAAATTTAGCTTACTAGTGCACCTTTGCTAGTAACACCATGTGAATATCCCGATGAAGAGAATTCCACAGCCTGGGAGCAAAAGCTGAGAATGCCCTGTTCCACGTAAATGTTAATCTTATTTCCACAAGTGGGGGGAACACGAAGCAAAGCCCCCCCACCTGACCTCAATCCCCAGGCAGGTTCATATGGGAGAAGATGGTACTTCAGATACCCCGGACCCAACTCATTTACGGCTTTATAGGTCATAACTAAAACCTTAAATTGTGCCCGGAAACACACCAGAAACCCAGTGCAGCTGCCGAAGCACTGGCATAATGTGCTCCGTATAACTATTGTTATAGTTAGAACTCGAACAGCCGCATTCTGGACCAGGTGAAGTTTCTGAAGGCTTTTTAGAAGCAACCCCACATAAAGTGCATTACAGTAATCCAGTCGGGACGTAACAAGAGCATGGATCACTGTGGCCAAGTCATGCTTGTTCAGTAAGGGTCGCAGCTCGCGAATCAAATGATGTTGCCCAAAGGCACTCCTGGCCACTGAAGAAATCTGATTTTCAAATGTTAAAGAAGGGTCCAGGAGGACTCCCAAGCTATGTACCTGTTCTTTCAGGGGAAGAGTGACCCCATCTAGATCAGGTGCCATGCCACATTCCCGAACAGATGGCCTCCTGATCCACATCCTAACCATTCGGCTGTAGCATATTCTGTTGCAGAGCTCCTTCTGTCCTTCCTAATGAACCTGTTCTGCTACGGAAAAGTAAAATAATTGAAGCAGGTCTCCTGCCTCTCAGGTGAGGGCTCTAACCACTAGGACACTTAATGGCTTATTCTTGATCTCAATGACACTTATTATTTATTCAGTGGAAGATCTTCAGAGAGACTGAGGAAGCCCCACATCACAATATCATATTACCCAATGGTTATTTACTCACAAGACAAGCGTCATATCCTTGTTCAAATCCCATCTTCCCCTCAGGTACACGGTGGGGACGGGTCTTGACCCAGGAGTCTCCCATATCCCCATTGAGTATTCTAATCACTGGGCTAAAAGTAATAATGGAGGTCCTCCTTCTCCCCCTCCTTTCCAGCTTCTTGATAAAATGCATAGATGCCTCAAGTCAAGCAAAAGTTTGTGCTGCTGAGTGTCCCAATATAGGAGGGCACATCCCTACAGCCCAAATGTACGTATGCCTAACTCCGAAAGCTTAGAATGCAAACCTCATCCTGGCACCTCCCATGGACTAGTTTAGGCAAAGAGCTACCTAACATGCTGCCTTTCGTGAAACCCCTTCATAGGAGCCTCTCCACTCCTCACTGTATACAGAAACTAGGTTCCAAAATTAAGCTTTGTGAATTTCAGTCATTTTCTGAGTGCCAAAAAATCAGCTTTGATGATGCCCCATCACAATTCCCAAATTTATGACTCTCTCAACATGCCTCCAATATTCATTCCAATAAGGTGACTATTTGCAGATTTGGCTATTGCTTTCCAAAATGTGGTATCTTTCTGTTTACAACTCTCCCTAAGCTTCTGTAAAGAGATTCCTCATCACAACTTTACCAATTCACAAGCCATTAGAAGCACGAGAAGGAAGAACTACAGATAAAATAAGCAAAGCATCAGAAACGCACAAAATAACCTTTATTTCTAAAACATTCAATTAAATCTTTAAGATCTTCATGAACATCTAATCCAGAAATAAAAAATGCTGTGAATTAAAGATCCTATATATTTACTCTGAAAATTCAATGTACCTTGAAAAATATAGCCTGATACCTTAAATATTCAAAGATTTTGGTCCAGGTAAAGCAAAAGCTACATCAAAAACCTGCTCTGGATCCTATGGACATATTTCTAAGCTCCGCTATATCTATTTTTTAAGATCAGTGCAACAGTAAGCTTAATTAATTCCTCAGACTAATTCTTTGGTACCTAACTTAGAAGCTATTTTCATCACTTTGATTATTCCATAGAACCAGGTGAACATTTGCTATCTTAATATTCAGATGAATTACAGAATTACTTTTGCTCTCTTGTGCAAACTGTCAAGCATCTCCCCCTGTTCAGAAGAAATATTTAATGAATATATGGGTGTTTTTACCTTCTAATACCAACACGTTATAAAATTCTTAACACAAATGAGATGTCAATACTGAATTTTAAACGTTAAAAGTGCAAGTAATTAGTTTAAACAAAGGCTAGAGTTTTCAGCTCTACCTTCAGATTATAGGTTTTGTAATGTACATTGATTACTTACTTGTTAAAAAAAGGTTCAATGAGTTTTGATCTAGCAGATACATGACTTTTTGGAGGACTGAGAAATGAACCTAGTAAACAAAAAAGAAATTCAGCATATTATATACAGTGAAACAAGAGTGTAAAGGAATTGTTTTGAGGGGGAAAAAAATATAGTACCTAGGTAGTTAGCCATGGAGATGAAACACAGTCCTGTTATATAAGCATCATAGCCTGCTTCATGAAGTTGTTCAGAAGCTGTGTCATAACTTGGAAACCCTTCTGCACTTTCTGAGGAAGGAAAGTAATGTTTACCTAAGGATATCATGGCAGTGAAACAAAAGACCAGACTAACACGGCTACATCTCTATTACTATGACAGTGAAAGTTATACCTAACCAGAAACTCATGTTTGCTTTAAGTTTATAATGCACTATAGATCATTCTAGTCAGTTTTACAAAATACAAGCAATTTACAACTTTACTGACAGGAGCATACTTCTGGGAATCATTCCAATCCCACCAAATCAAAGATTGTACCACCAGACTCCCATATAGCCTTTTTCATCCAGAGATGCTCTGGACTGTTTTGTGACTTAAGATGCCAAATTTCCATTAAAACAACAGGAATAAGGTTAATCATCACCCAATTTTTTCTGATTTTCTGCAACATGACATATATAGTATGTAATTATTTCTCCATTGGTAGCAAACACACTATCTATGCCTTTTCAAAAATGCCTACCTGACATCAACATCTCCGAACATAATTAGGGCCAAATTTTAAAATATACATAAATGCCTAAATATACAAATAAATCACGTGGCATTCTGAACCTAAGTCAATTTTTAAGCACCTCAAATACATTTTAAAAGTTTAGCCTTGAAAGACTTACAAAGCCTATGTCCCAGTGGAAGCCAATCGGACTTAAAACTTTTCAAAATTATGCCAGAATAGTAGAGAAATGTGTGTCATTTAATTCGACCCTCACAAGCCCCCAACAATTGGGTAGTCTTTAAAACTTAACTTCTCAGTCTATAAAGACATCTAAACAGTTCAAGCAGGTTTTTTTGGCTGGGAAATTGGACTGGAAGGAGAGAAACAGCTGTTTAACACACCAATCAAGTGTGCTCAGACTAGCACAGTGGAAACTGAAGTCAAGCTTAATTATATTCACATTATTACAATTAAGGAATCTTTTTCACCACAAAAGTTATCAATTAACATGTGAGTACACTGCAATATTTACAATATGGACATAAACAAGCGTAATAATATAATATGGCTAAAATATGTAAAGGAAGACTGTATGTAATATAATGAGCTGACTAACTGCCTTATGTAATATTTTCTCAGCATCTAACAAGGACACAAAATTCTTAGCATATTTAAATTTACCATCTACAAAAATGTTCCACCATATCGTAAGTATGCCAACGTTCCACAGACAAAACCAGTCCTTCCTTGAAAGAGTAGATTTCTAAGGAAAAATGTTAATACTACCTCACCAAAAGACACAGCTGACCTGTCTGAACAAGTTTAAATCAACAGTTAGCCTTTTATAGGTCTCACTGCATACCCATCAACATATTTTTACACATATCTAACAACTAACCTAAGTATTGCAATAATTTAAAACCATTTTGGCCTTGGAAACTCTGACCCAGGTCTACATCAACATCAAACTTTACAGTAGACATTTACTAAAAGTGAACCATAACATATCCACCAAACTTTGATGTAGAACACAAAATTTCATACAATCATTTGGTACTATATCAGCTAAAAGAACTCATCTAAGAGCCCATGTTGTGTAATCCCCAGGTTTGAAGAGCCTATAGTGAATACACTATGAAAGGTATATATGTGGAAATAGGAAACCATTTCATTTGGAGGGTGAAGCACTGGAATGGGTACCTGAGGTGGTGGTGGAATCTCCATCCCTAGAAGTTTTTAAGTCCCAGGTGGACAAAGTCCTGGCTGAGATGATTTAGTTGGGATTGCTCCTGCTTTCAGGAGGGAGTTGGATTCAACCTCCTGAGGTCTCTCCCAGACCTGTGATTCTATAATTAAATGTGGTGTACACCAGCACCTCCCTCTGCTTGGTTAATAGAATGATTATTACAGAAGGAAGTTCGAAAGCCTCTGGATTTCTGTTTTTCTTGAAGCCACCCAAATGCATTAAACTAAGTGCATTTGCTGTGCATATTTATAATGCTCTAACACCCAGTGACAGGGTGTATCAACCCTACACTGGGGCCAAAGGGGTTAAACTGACCTAGCTGGCTAGGAAGGCCCGACCCCCACAACCCTGCCAGGCATACTCCAACTGAAGGCTGGCTATAAAGGCCTCTGGAGCTGCTCAGTGAGGGCTGACTACTGCAGTGAAAGGAGGTGCCACAGGACCTCGGGGAAAGCACAGCCGGACCAAACAGCAGCAGAGGGACAGCAATAGAAGCCTCCAGATCAGTGTGTGAAGATGGAGAGGACTTCCTACAGAATATGTTTGTCAGAGGCTTGAAATGGATGGCACAAGACAAATCACTTGATCATTGTCTTTGGTCCACCCTCTCTAGGTACTTGGTGCTGGCCACTGTTAGCAGACAGGCTACTAGGCTAGATGGACCTTTGGTCTGGCCCAGTATGGCCATTCTTATGTTCTTAGCTCAGCAAGGAGAATTGCTCCCCCAGAGCACAGCATACTGCGGTAGGATTCCCCATGGAGCTAGCAGTGGACCGCGCCACTGCTAACAGGGCCATGGACTGGGACCCAGGTCCCCCTAACAGCTCCTCAGATATCCCACAGACAGTGAAGCTTTGTTTATGATATATGGACTCTGTGGCTGCTGGGCCGTACCACCCTAACCCCAGGGCACTGTGTATTTCTGTGGCCATTAGCCATGTTACCCTGAACACAGGGGAATGTTTAGACTCTGTGGCCACTAGGCCTTATTACTGTACTGCAACCTGCATTCACATGGACTTTGTGGCTGATAGGCCACTCTATCCTGAGCAGGAGTCCGAGAAGCCACAAAGGACCAGCTGCCAATCTCTCTGGCAGGTAGACAAGGTGCCCCTGAACACACCCATATAGCTTAAGGTAAAAGACACTCTCCTGCCTTTCAACGTTATGCTGTTGAATATTCCCCCCACCCCAGATCAGCAGTTCATGCGTTCCATTCCAAAAAGCTAAAACCAGTCTGTGCCTTCTGATCATTTAACAGTACTTCTTTCATGCCACTGCCTTAGCCAAAACAATGCAGCTCCACAGTACTGAATGACATAGTAAGTTAGCATGAGTTCCAGTTATTACTGTATTTTTTCAAAGAGCCCAGCTAAGTACTACTTGTAATTAATTAAATAAGAGCATTTAGACTAATACACTTTAACCTTCTCTTTGAGTCACAGTACAAATTATTCACAGAAACCCAAGTTGCAGAACTAATGCCATCAGTAGAATGACAGAACAGCTGTTCACTGAAAAATTACTTTTTTAGTTTCCTCAAAATAAAGCTGAAGTATAATGTCTAAAACAACAACGAATAATGATTAACAAAAAGTATTATCATAGAATCATGAGAGGTAGGGTTGCCAGGTGTCCAGTATTCACCCGGACAGGAGTGAAAATTATTCTTTTTAACTTCTGAGGAAAGTAGAAGAAACAATGAGTTTAAATTGCATCAAGGGAGGTTTAGGTTGGATGTACGGAAGAACTTGCTAACTGTAAGGGTGATTTAACACTGGAATAAATTGCCTTAGGAGCTTTTTAAGAGCAGTGAGAAACACTTTTCAGGAATGGTATTTTCAGCTCCTGTCCACCTAAAATGTCCGGTATTTTCTGAAATTTTCCCCAGCCAGGAGGCGAAAATGCCAGGCACCTAGCAACCCTACAAACATTCAGCGCCATTTTGGGTTACTTGTAGTCTTTTTTTTTTTGCTCAACAACTTTGGTCCCCCCCCCCTTTTTTCCCCCCCTCCAACAGAATTTTTTTCCTTTTTGGGGGGGGAGGGGGTCAGTATTTTTGTTTCAACCATCTGGCAACCCTAACGAGAGGTCACGTCCTGTCCCTTGCACTCATAGAAAGACCAAGCACCAGCTAGACCACGGGTAGGCAAGATACCTCTCGTGGGCTGGATCTGGCCTGCCAAGCCACCAGATCCAGCCCATATATTCCCTTGCTGGGACCCTCAAGCATGCAGTAGCCGCTGATTTAAGCACAAGGCTGCTCTGTGCGCCCCTCTGCTCTGGAGGGAGGGAGAGGCTTCATGTGATCTGCCCGCTCCCAGCATATTCATCAGCTACTATTGGACAAAAACAGTCAGGCAGGCTGCACAAGCATTTCCTCCCTCCTGGAGCTGAGAGCCACATGGAGGGAGAAGCCTGCAGTTTTAAACAATCTGGGGCTACAGCATGCAGGCCCAGCCAGAGCCTGCCTCTGGCACTAAGGCCCCTCCTGTACCCTAACTCCCTTCCACCGGTCACCCTCCAAACCCTCAGCACCCCTCTGCACCAGGTCACAACTCCCTCCCAGTCCCTGTACCCTCTCCTACATTCCTCCCCCAGTCCAGAATCCTCTCCTGCACTTCAGTTTGTCCAAATCAATTTGAATTTACATCTTATCCTCCATGATCTAAATCACTGATGAAAATATTTAACAGAACCAGTCCCAAAACAGACCCCATGCGGAACCCCAATTCTTATGCCCTTCCAGGATTGTGAAACTACTCTGAGAATGGTTATCCAGCCAGTTATCCATCCACCTTATGGTAGCCCCATCTAAGTTGTATTTACCTAGTTTATTGATAAGAATATCATGTGAGACCATATCAAATACCTTACTAAATTCTAGGTATAGCACGTCCACTGCTTCTCCCTTATCCACAAGATTCTTTATCCTATCAAAGAAAGCTATCCGATTGGTTTGACATGATTTGTTATTTACAAATCCATGCTGGCTGTTACCTATCACCTTATTATCTTCCAGGTGTTTGCAGAGTAAATCCTTAATTACTTGCTCCATTATCTTTCCTGGCACAGAAGTTAAACTGACTGGTCAATAGTTCCCTGGGTTGTTCTTATTTCCCTTTTTATAGATAGGCACTATATTTGTTCTTTTCCAGTGTTCCAGAATGTCTCCTGTCTTCCATGGTTTTTCAAAGATGATAGCTAAAGGGTCAGATACCACCTCTATCAGTTCCTTGAGTGTTCTAGGATGCGTTTCATCAAGCCCTGGTGACTTGCAGACATCTAACTTTTCTAAGTGATTTTTAACTTGCTCTTTTTTTATTTTATCTTCTAAATCTACACCATTACGTATGTTAGTCAGTACCCATTATGTAAGACATTCCTTCATCAGCAGACTTCTTAGTGAAGACCGAAGCAAATAAGTCATTAAGCACCTTTGCCATTTCCAAGTTTCCTGTTACTGTTTCTCCCTCCTCACTGAGCAATGAGCGTACCCTGGCCTTAGTCTTCATCTTGCTTCTAACGTTTATAGAAAGTCATCTTGTTTCCTTTTGTGTCTAACTAGTTTGAGCTTATTTTGTGCCTTTGCCTTTCTAATCTGCCCCTGCATACCTGTATTGTTTGCATATATTTATCTTTCATAATTTGTCCTACTTTCCACTTTTTATATGACTCCTTTTTTATTTTTAGATCATGCAAAAAAAAAGTATGCCATATTGTCTGTCTTTCCTATGCAGTGGAATAGACTATTCTTTTGCACTTGGTGTCTTTCTAAAAACCTTTTTCCAACTGTTTTTCCTCTTAGATTTCAAGAAGGAAGATTTTAGCAAGCTCAGGGAGTTCGTAAGTAAGACCCCAAGGGAAGAAAGTCTATTACCTTTATATTGCTATTTTTACTTCTACCATTTCTTAGAATCATGATTATTATTTCATGATCACTTTCACCCAAGCTGCCTTCCACTTTCACATTTTCATCAAGTTTCTCCCCATATTTGTCAAAATAAAATCTAGAAGAGCATCTCCCATTGTAGCATTCTGCATCTTCTGGAATAAAAAATTGCCTCCAATACAGTCCAAGAATTTGTTGCATAATCTGGCTTTGCTATATTTTTCCCCAACTGTGTAGTTCAAGTCCTCCATCAACACCAAGTCCTGTGTTATGCATACAACACTGCATATATGTAACTCACTGACAATAACCAACTGGAGTTTAAACTCCATTTATTTAGAAATAAAGCATTTTACAAAACCAACTAAGGAATTAGCATACCAATCTGTTCTGTAAAAAGAAACCTAGCTCATGATTTAGGGCCATAGGGCAAATGTTTTCATGCATCCTTACCAACTTCTGGAGGATTGAATGGAATCTCTTTTAAACGTTTTTCCAGTTCCGCAAGGGATGTGTTGTTAATAATTTCCTAGAAACACAAGACAACATTGCATATGAGGACATCAGTGTCAAATGCATTTCCCCACATATCGAGATCAGATGGATTAGAGGTAATATTTGGGATTTAGTACTGCCATCTTGGTGTTCTCTACGGAGCTATACACAATCCAGTTCTACATACTAAGGGCCTAGAAAGAACAGTGTGCTCACATTCAAGTTTAAAGTTAACATACAAACAATTGTTACAATTATGCAATTCCTATCAAAACCCCTTTAGTTCTGACCAACGTAGAAACAACAGCAAACGTCAATAGTGAAGCACAATTTCTATCTAAAATCTGGCCCCTGCTGAAAAAGGAGCACAAACAGCAATACACAGAAATCAAGGTTTATAGCAGCATCAGGGAAGGTTATGCAATTACTACTGTGCATCTCTTGGACAGAAAGGATATAACGGACTGAAAATACTGGTACTAGAACTACTGAATTGTTTTTAAACCGATACACCCAGTAAAGAATGTACAGCAAGCTGAACAGTTACTTAATGGAGCAGCCAAGCAATAGAAATAGACTAAATGTACTTACCCTGTTAGATTTATTAATTAGTTAGGCTAATCTTATACAGGTTGTACCACCCTTAACCAGGACTCCCTGGTCCAGCACAGACTACGGATGTTACTGGACCACACAGCCCAGAAAAAGGGAGGTCTGGCAGCAGGGCAGAAACACCCTAGGGGGGCACCAGCTACTCAGCCAAGCAATAGAAATAGACTAAATGTACTTACCCTGTTAGATTTATTAATTAGTTAGGCTAATCTTATACAGGTTGTACCACCCTTAACCAGGACTCCCTGGTCCAGCACAGACTACGGATGTTACTGGACCACACAGCCCAGAAAAAGGGAGGTCTGGCAGCAGGGCAGAAACACCCTAGGGGGGCACCAGCTACTCAATTGGGGAAAGGGGAGGAAAAGAGCTCTGTTTTCAAAAGAGGCCAGGGAGCTCCGGCCCCAGCCCCAGCCTAGGAACTCTGGCCCCAGCTGCAGAGCTCCAGCCCCAGCACCAAGTGACTGCACAGCTCCGCCCCAGCTGCAGAGCTCCAGCCCTGCAGTAGCAGGGCCACTGACATTGAGAGAGGCCGGGGCCAGGGGCAGCAGCAGGTACAGACTGGCACCCTAACCTGACAGCAGCATAGGCCAGGAGGGAGGAACCTTCCCTGGTCCAACAAATCCCCTCATTGAGGACCAGCAAGGTCCAACCAGTTCATTAGCTTACTTGACTGGCGTTGTAGAACACAACTAACTAGAAGATTTACCCAGTGTTGCTCGAATCCTTAACTTAATTTTTTTTCCCATTTAAATCATTGCTCTTAGGTGAGGCTAGGGATGAAGGATTCAATATGCAGGCTGCTCTAGGATAAGAGGACTATTACAGACCTCTCCACAGAAGGTTGGTGCAAGGTGATAAGCACCTCTCAAGGGGTACTGCAGTTCCGCAGGGCATAGCCGGGGGGGGAAGGGGAGAGTGCATGGCCCCTGTTGGGGCAAGACCGGGTTTGTTTGCCCCTATACTCCCCCAGAGTGAAAAATGCAGAAAACTGTGCACTCTCTCGTCAATCTCTCATGAAAACAAACATCCAGTAATACTCCCGTAAAAAGGGAGGAGGGCCTTCAGCCCCCATTGCCCTCCCTAAAGGAAGCCTGGGAGTGGGGCATGACCCACAGCCAGCCTCTTTCACCTGCCTGGTGATTCTGTCTTTTCTGTATGGTTTTATAAGAAGCAATCCCATTCCAGGCACATCCCATGTACCTAGCACAACCAAATCCTTACCTTACTTTTAGTTATGAGACGAGGAAGCTGTATATAGATTTTGGTGGTCCTAGCTCTTACAATTTAGGAGTTCTTGAACAGATATAGACACAGACAAACTCTCTCAAATATACAGAAGTAGTCACTGACACGTTACATAAAGATTCTCAAATCTGAAATGAAAAGACAATCCAGTCTAATTCATTAGATGGGTCACTAAATACTTTTTATTTATAATACTAGTCTCTCCATTGTACAAAGAAAAAAGCAGAAACTTGCTCAAGGTGATAACCACTGGCAGTCAGTAGAACTTAAATATACCTATTCAGCTCCATTATCATGTTACAACTTCAGCTATCCAGAAGATGCATACAAATTTTATGATTTTCATTTAACTCTTATGTTTCAAGACAATCATGGGAAGAACCAAAATGGACACAGAGAATGGAACGTTCTTGCTCAGAGAGACCATCCATCCATTGAAAAAGCAGGTGGCTATCATTGGGTGGGAAAGATTGCACTAGAACTACCTCAGACAAAAGCATTTCAAGAACAAAGTTTAGCCACCAGAGCTAAAAAGTATGACAAACAAGTTCTGCTATCTTGAAAACAATTTGGTAGGTTATTAATGTTTTTTTAAACACAGTTGTCAAAGCTTGAACTCATTTCTTGTACTGGCCCTCAAAAACCCTCATTAGGAACATGGGGCATATACACAAGTTATAGCATTGTTTCTCTCCCCCCCCCCCCCCCCCAACACAAAAACAACACACGCACGTGTAAAAATACAAAAGCAAATCTTACTGAAATATCTTAGCTAAATACAAAATCAACACATATTATCAAAGAATTAGTTTTCAAGTCACAAAGGCCTCCACATATATTTGGATTCAAACTGTAACTGCTCAAAAGGCTGAGATTCCTGCTACATTGTTTTGGTTTTGCTTGGGGGGGTAGGTGTTGTTTGGTTTTTTTAAATGCATTCAGAACTGGCGCCTCTCCCCCCCACAAAAAAATTCTGTAGTTACTATGGCAAAATATGCTGCACCTCCAGAAGCACCTGCTTCATCAGACCATTATTCACATTTAAAATGCACTCAGGCCTGGATAGGGTGGATTGATGTAAATCAAGTTAATTTAAATCTCTAAGAGAAAAATCAGTGATTTAAATCAGATTTCCCACTGACACTTCTTCACATTTCTTGAACAATGGTGCAAATCTGATCATAAGAATGGCCATACTGGTCAGACCAAAGGTCCACCTAGCCAAATATCCTTTCTTCCAAAAGTGGCCAATGCCATATGCCCAAAAGGAAGTGAACAGAACAGGTAATCAAGTGATCCCTCTCCAGTCATCTATTTCCAGCTTCTGACAAACAGAGCCTAGGGACACCTTTCTTACCCATCCTAGCAAACAGCCATTGCTTGACATAACTAAATGCATGCATGGAGGTTCTTTTTTAAACCTTGTTAGAAGTCCTGGTCTTCACAAACTCCTCTGGCAAGGAGTTCCACAGGCCAAACTTTCACTGTGTGAAGAAAAAATTCCTTTTGTTTGTTTTAAACTCTCTACCTATTAATTTTATTTAGTGGCCCCTAATTCTTATATTACGGGAACAAATAAGTAACTTTTCTTTATTCACATCAGTCAAGATTTTATAGACCTCTATCATATCCCCCCTGAGTCTCCTCTTTTCTAACCCGAACAGTCCCAGTCTTTTTAAGCTCTCTTCATATGGGACCCATTCCCAATCATTTTTGTTGCCTTTTTCTGAACCGTTGAGATGAGGCAACTACATCTGTATGCAGTATTCAAGTTGTGGGCACACCATGGATTTATATAGAGGCAGTAAGATGGCCTCTATCTTACTCTCTATCCCTTTTTAAACGATTACTAACATTCTGTTTTTTGACTGCCACTGCATATTGAATGGATGTTTTCAGGGAACTATCCACAATGACTCCAAGATCTCTCTCTTGAGTAGTTATAGCTAAATTAGTCCCCATCATTTTGAATATGTATTTGGGATTTTTTTCCCCCGGTGTGCATTAGTTTACATTTATCAATGTTACATTTCATTTGCCATTTTGTTGCCCAATCACTTAGTTTAGTGAGATCTTTTTGAAGCTCTTCACCATCTGCTTCACTCTTAACTATCTTGAGCAGTTTATAAATTACTGCAGAGTGTCTATCTCCTAGAACTGGAAGGGACCTTGAAAGGTCATTGAGTCCAGTCCCCTGCCTTCACAGCAGGACCAAGTACCATCCCTGACAAATTTTTGCCCCAAATCCCTACATGGCATCCGCAAGGATTGAACTCACAACTCTGGTTTAGCAGGCCAATGCTCAAACCACTGAGCTATCCCTCCCCCCATTTTAGTATCATCTGCAAATTTTGCCGCCTCACCATTTACCCCTTTCTCCAGATCATTTATAAATAGGTTAAATATCATTTGTCTTAGAACAGACCCTTGGGGGATACCATAAGTTACTTCTCTCCATTCTCAAAACTTACCATTTATTACTACCCTTTGTTTCCTGTCTTTTAACCAGTTATCAATCCATGAGAGAATCTTCACTCTTATCCCACTATAACATGTTCATTTACAACTCAAGACAGCATTTTACAGAATCCAGGAGGGTTTAACTTTGCATAATTTTTTAGATTAATTTTTATTACTTTAGGAAGTAGTACAAAATACTCATTACATGTGTCAAGCTGCAGATGCAACAGCAGTATATTAGGAACGGCAAGAACTCACATGCAAACACAACGGCACATTTTATTGAGCTAAATTTTAAATGTTATATAAAAAATTCACATTTGCAATTGCAGAAGTCTCCTGAGTTATCCACTTTTTTAATTTTAAAATTGTATTAACAATTGTGATTGTCAAGTCATCACAACACGAAATATATGGTGTCCTTAAAATGTCCATAACTAGCTTTCATCTTCCCCACTCTCATTGACATTTTGATTCACAGACAGAAACAGAAGTGTGAATTTTTCTGCTTTTTCAATTCCCAGGTAATTTCTTAGGTCTGAGTGAATAATACCAAACAATGAAAAACTTCTCTCTATGCCTGAACAGCAAGCTATTGCTGTGAAAATTTGGCTTAGCAACTGAAGAATCTCTGTTTCAAGGTGCCAGACGAATCATTTCCACCAAATCAGGGGAGTGACTGTGTTCAAATCATCATCTGTACAGATGTACTGATTAAACGGCTTTGCTTCAGCCCTGAAACGTATTATTACTGGTAAAACTGAGGAGTGATTTGGAGATGCCCATGCCATGGCAGCAACATCTTCTTCAGGAGTTAGGCATCTACCTTTGTATCTTTGGTTGAGAATGTTCACAAGAAAATAAAGTGGAATTAGTGCTTGAGCCATTCGTTTCTTTATTGCATGCAGTTTAACATTCTGCTGTGGTATTTCTTTCAACGATGTTTCTTGAAGTGCTTTCCAAATTTGAACAGCATAGGCAATGCAGGAGCAATTTCTCTGAAGTTTAAGGCTATGGATATAGGCTTCAGTATACTGAGCATATCCTCTACATTCCTCTTTAATCCAATGTTAGATACTTTGGATGAGACTTCTATTTTACCACAATTTTCTTCACCAGGGATGTTAAAATTGTTTGGTAAATGTGTACCTGCTGACATTTTCAGTGGGTACATGTTTATGGAGGGAGGGAGATAGAAGCATATGCTAACACACGCACACACAAAGGGTTGCTTTGCTTATTTTATGTATATAAATCAGAGAAAGTAATACTTATAACTATGCCTAAAAAATAAATAAATATATAGACACACACACACACACACACACACGCACGCACTCCTATACAGACAGAATGAGGCCATGAAGAAAACTTACAAAATTACTGGTTGCAATGTATTACCACAAATAAAATCCAGCAACAACTGTGATACAACACAGTATTAAACTGAACTCTACTGAACACTCAATTCAGCTGACATTTTAAAAGTCTCATGGTAAAATTATGTTTGAAAAAATCAAATGAGAAAAATGATGCACATGAAACTCAAAGCCCCCAAGCTATGTCTACACAGCAGCATTATCTCAGAATAACAGACACTATTCTGAAATAATGAAGAGTGCATCTATACAGAAAGCCTTTATTTCAAACAATGTCAAGCTGGAGGACTTGTTTCTCTGACTCATGGTAACCCTCACTTCATGAGGAGTAACAAAGTCAAAGGAAGAGTTCTTCCTTTGACTTCCTGCTGTGTAGACAGCACCGAAAGCCAAATTAAGCTATTTTGACTTCAGCTATATCAATTCAAACAACTGAAGTTGCATAGCTTAATTTGACTTAAGCCCTGCCATGAGGACTCTGGGGGTTTGTCTACTTCAGGCAAAAAGACCTGTTGTTGAAAGTATAGTTATCTAAGTAAGGACTGCAGGAACATGGTTCCCAAAGTTAAAGGACAATCATGATGATAATTTACAAGACATTTTCTTGTATTAACTCACAGTAGAAACCCTAGACCATTTTGGCAGAGTTAACTCAGGGTACGTCTACATTGCACAGCTATTTCGGGATACACCAGCGGTTTCCCGAAATAGCTACCCTGAGTCTACACAAACCACCTGTTATTTCAAAATAGTTTCTGAAATAATAGGCGCACTATTTCATCATCCTGGTAAATCTCACTGCATGAGGGATAAGGAATGGCTTGAAATAGCACATTATTTCAAAATTTGGCACTGTGCAGGCACACCAAATTTCAAAATAAGTTATTTTTCAATAGATTCAAAATAAGATACACAATTTGCAAAGCGCAAATTGCACATCTTATTTCGAGTTTAGGGTGCTGTGTAGACTCACCCTCAGAAGTTTACATCTGTCCAGGATCCAAAGCTAACTGCCCCAAACCAGCCGTTTGATAGAGTTTTTACCATGGAAGAATGGACTTTAAAATGTATCATAATGGGGTTTTTTAAAGCTCATTTTCTGTAGTTTTAGAAGAGCTAGATGACAGTTTTTACAAAGTATCAAGTCATCTTGCTACAGAGGTGATATTTATAAATGAAATATTCTAACAACTGTTGTACTATACCAAAATAATATTTTTATTTCAGTATTCAATACACACAAAAAAGACATAACTGTAGTAATTTACATTAGTAAGTTACCTTAAAAGGTTGCGTACTTGCCATCAGTTTAGTATCCAATAGTCTAAAAATGAAAATTAAGAGGTAAGAATAAAGTGTTTTGCTTTTATAAACAATATCGCCCATCACTCAAGAATATTTTGTTTTATTCACTGGTGAACAACATTAAGATGCTCAAAGTCAACAGACTAAGCCTGATAAAACAGTGAAACTACTAACATTAATAGCAAATAAACCTTGTTCTCTATTCAGTCAAGGTTCCCAACAATAATTTTCATACAAAGAAAAAATAATTTGTAAAGGCTTCTCTTTAATTAAGGAATATTCTGACAAGAGCAATGCAATCAGCAACATCATAAATATGAATTAAAATGCAGGCAGTAAAATTATTTTAAGATAAATTGTTCTATATCACTGTAAAGTGTGATTCAAGTCACAACCATAATTTTATGCTTAATTTAGCCAAAACATAGCTGGAATTTGACAGTTGGCAGCAGTGGAATAAACTGCTCAATTATAATCTGAAGATGAGCCTACCTGGGAAAGACACATGCCGCTAACTCCTTAAACTCACTTAGGTCCTAAAATTTAAAACAAAGTTGTGTTACTATCAAACCTAAACATTATATAAATTCTTATGGTAATCTACTATCCTGAAACAGATATTGATCCAGAGATTCCAACCCTATTATCCACTCAGATGTCTAAATTAAGGTCTAATGGCTATACTCTTTTCTATTTAATACTGAAGTGTACTTGGTTAATGCCTGCCCTTTTAATGCCTGCTGACACTGTTTTTATAGCATTATCTTTTAACTTTAGGTGTTTTTTACCTAAACCTCTACTCATCTCCAATATTTTGCTATGCAAAGGTAACTGAAAAGGTTGCTACAGAAGATGAGCAGAAACTTTTAACCATAAAGCTGAGTACAACCAAAATCTCACTTTCCATTAGAAGTGCTTTTCCCATCCCAATTTATCATACTAATAATGGCAGATATTACCAGTATTTGTCTGATATTAGATCCGATCAGCTACAGAAAAATTAAGAATTTAGGAAATATTTCTTAAATATATTATAGTAAATAATTAACTGAATGTTCATTTTCAGGAAATATTTTATTAGTGAAACGCTTATTAATTAACTGGCCATTTCTTAGAAGGGGACTGTATATGTCAACTCATTCTCTTCAACAGTGAGCCAATAAAGTCCATGAGCAAATGGTTATCTTGGGAAGGTTGAGAAAACCTATCTTCTGCATTCACACGGAAATGGTAGCAAACATGCTAGGACAGGTGAAGAGTCCACTCTCTGCAGAAGAGATGTACACAAGAACCGCATTCTATGTCCAATGAGGAAGGGGATAACAACGACACCTAAAACCCTATGAGGGGGCAGAACAGGCAACATCACTGCAATGTTCTGGAGAGCATCCCGACAAGTAAGAGGTTCTATTGCTGCCTGCCCTGCAGCCATAGTGTGCCTTCATGCTTTGCTGCTATGGCTCAGAGACCTGGCGCTAACACACAGCTCCAGCAAATTCAGGAAGGGGATGTGTCAGTCAGAGCTCACGCACTCCAAGCAGACAATAGGGAGTCTCAATCCACAGGTTGTATGCAATTCTACTGTATACAAATATATGTTGAGCAAGGTCTTTCATGAAAGCTTGTAATGTTCTGAACCTTCCAGCATGTATACGGGTGGATTACAAATATGCATACAGAATACTATGCTCATGAACTGTATTAAAACTTTGAATACACCTCACAGCCGACAAGTCGCCACCCATGGTGCAACCTAGGGATGTTAAATTTAGTTTAATCGACTAGTCGATTACTCCATAAGCAAGGGAGATGCAGCAGGGTTAGCTCTCGGTCCAGGAGCTAATCCCACTGTGGCTCTGCCTTTTAAATACATTAAGAGACTTTCAGTACTTACTACATTTAAAAAGCAGAGGCACAGCATCTGAGACTGGGTGCAAGCCAGCAATCAGCTGATTCCCAGCTCACTCCCAGTCCCCATTACCCTCCTGCCTCCCTTGCCCCCCCACCCGCCCCCCGAGACACTGCTGGAGGGAACCTGCTTAAAGCCGCTGATAGAGGCAGCAAAGGAGGGAAGGAGAGACAACTAGTCAAGGGACTAGTCAAGTGTCCGATAATAATCCGATTAGTCGCTTACATCCCTAGTACAACCCAAGAAGACAAATAATGGACCCTTGCAATTAATGGGAAGACAGATTTCCCAGTTACCCAGTAAAAGGAAATTTTCCTTGCTCTGAGAAACAATGAATTACCATAGCTAAGGGGGGAAATGGGAAGGGGGTAAGCAGAAGCAAGGAGCACTGAACTGTAGGAGTGTTTCAATAGCAGAAGGGATCGTAGCAGAAGGTGCTGCCTATGAATATGGCATCTCATCCCTTTGGCTAGGGGGAAATATGGGAAACTGTACCAAGGCAGCAGGCAATGTGCATTTGAAAAAGCAATGTATCCAATATAGAAAAGGAAAGCATGAAGTTGCATCTTTAAATGTATAGTCTGTAATTAGTTCGTTTCATCCTTACTATTTATCTTGGAATCTGTGGTTACTTTATTAAATACATTTTGTTAATTTTTATACCAAGGTCTCTGGTGTGCAAACTGTGCGCTGATAACGAAAGGCTTTTTTTCACACATTTAGGGGTGACAAACTAGAAGGGAAGAGTCCCTGTGTCTGGTCCTTAAGAACTTAAGTTAAACAGCAGTGGGGAGGCTCAGGATAAAAAAAGGCTGTTGAAGTCACCCTACAACAAGTTATGAAACTTGTAGAATCCAGGCTGAGCTTTGTTTGTTGGCTGGCTAATAGTGGCAGGGCTCTGAACCATAACAGTATAGCATTACGGCACCTAAAGTTACCACAGAGGTTGGTCTGATACCCAGAATATTAGACTACTAATTATTCCAAGTGCCTGAGAATCCCCACCACAAATACGAGTCCTAATTGACTCTATCCTTCTCTTTCAGGTGCCAAGTTGCTTCCATACCACAAGACAAAATAGCTCTAATGATGCTATTGGATTCTAGATCTCCTTATTTCCACAGGGAAAAAGAGGGCTAACCCAAGCTGCAAGTCATTTTGAAATTGTCACTTATCAGCATTAAAAGATGCAGACCCCTTTGGTCATTTGTAGGAGGTAGAAAAAAGCCTATACCATAATATAGTCATAATGAACAAAATCTGAGAACTTCAGAAATAACAGCCTCACTTGCACTTTAGTAACTAAAAAGGCCAAGTTATACCACTGTCTAAATATGATTTCTTCAGCAAGTCTTATGTGCCAACGTAATTCAAAAAGGGCACCACCCACTTCTCCCACATGTAATAACCCAATCCCATACACAGCACCCTACCAAAAGCCTCAAAGTTTATGATGCCTGTACTAGGCACAGGTGACCAATCTAAAACCAGATCTCTTGCTTCCTCAAAGACTAGTACTGTACCCTTACTCACCTACCACAAAGGCCATCTTAATAGATTAGGACTTAAATCATCAGAAAAAGGTGCTCTCCCACCTTACATATTCCAGTACAACAATTCCTATTCTTATAATCAATTTGATTTTATCCCCAACTTCTGCCATTATATTTCATAACACCATCTCCGTATCATAACTCTATTTCTACCTAGTATCACAGAAGATAACTTGCTTTTTAAAAAGCAACAGAAGAAAGTAAAACATTTCCATTAACACTAGAGGCCCTGTTAAGACAGAAAAAGCAAGGAATTTGAAAAGAAACAGTATAAAGAACCTAATTACCCACTCACTTACTGAAGTAGCATTGAGTGCCAAAAGCTCCAAGTACACAGTAAACTTCCTAGTTTAGTTTTATCAGAAACTAAACTTAAAATTTGATTTTCTACTACTTAAAACTATCAACTGCCATAGATCACAATAGCTCATCACTGAAAACAATTCTGCATTTAAACAATTACACTCTTCTACATACTCATTAATCATGCTCTATAGGAAAGTGACATTTCCAATTAGCTTTCTTGCACTGTAGATACTTAATGATATAGGATTCATAACTCAAAAGGGTCAATGTAATATATCTTTAGTCAGACTACAGTATACAGTTAGAGTGATTTCATAAGTATAGTTTTATACTCGGGTCTCTACATTAAAAATAGCTCAAGGACAATAAGGATATATGGTTGAAATTTTAGTGCTCTCAGGACAGACTTTAAAAAGTGGTTGAGGTATACAGTTAAGATGCTATAAAAATCACATACGAGAGTTGATTTTTATTTGCACTCAACTTGCATGTTTCAAGAACATATATCCTGAATTCTAACCACTTGAACTCTTGCTCCATAAACAGATGTTTTCAGAGAATTATCCACAATGTTTCCAAAATCTTTTTGCTGAGTGACAACAGCTACTTTAGAGCTCATCATTTTGTATGTCTAGTTGGGATTATGTTTTCTAATATACATTTTGCATTTGTCAACATTGCATTCCATCTACCATTTTGTTGCCCAGTCACCCAATTTTGTGAAGTCCTTTTGTAACACTTCACAGTCAGCTTTCAACTTAAACTTCTTGAGTAATTTAGTATCATCTGTAAATTTTGCCACCACATTGTTCACCTCTTCTTTCAGATCATTCATGACTATACTAAATAGCATTTGTCCCAGTATATATCCTTGGAAGACCCTACTATTGACCTCTCTCCATTGTGAAATCTATCTATTCCTACCTCGTTTCCTATCTTTTAACCTCCTACTTATCAAATTACAAGCTCTTTCCTCTCATTCCCTGATTGCTTACTTTGCTTAAAAGTCTTTGACCAGAGACCACTATATACACTGGATCCTTGTCCATGTGTCCAATGTTATGGAGACAGTCCTGATATTCTGGACTTGGTCTCATACAAGTGCCTCTTACCTCCACTTGCATCCCAATTTTTTCCACAGTTACTATCTGGTCACCCTAGCTGCCCCCTGCTCCCAAATGGACCCCCCCCCCCCCCTTACAAAACCCATGTTGACTCATCATTCTATTCTTTATTATAATTTCAACCAACCCTCATAGGACTGAAATTAGGTTTATAGGCTTGTAACTGGTATGATGGCCTCTGGAGACTTCTTTAAAAATCAACACTATATGAGTTATCCAGACTTCTAGACTAAGTTAATTTAAGCAATATGTTATATATCACAGCAAGCAGTGCTGCAATTTCGTGTTTGAGTTTCTTCAGAATTCTTAAAATAAATACCATGTGGTCTTAAGATTTCATGTAACTGCTGTTCCACATCTCTTTTATTGACATCTCAAATCTGGGAGGGTTTCTCCGATCTGTCACTTAAAAAGACGGGTTCAGGTGTGGGAACTTCCCCTCCATTGCACCTCTATACTGTGGCACTTCATGCAAAGATACCTATTTACTAAATAGATGATGAAGATAATTGCAGCCCTAATGGCAAACTCAGTTTAAGATAACAATGAATCATGGGCTAGTATCTCCAGACAGCACACAGATTTCTAATTGCATATTAAGGATTCTACTTTATTTTGCTCAATTCATCCTAGTAAGCTCCCAGCCAGGATAGATTTCAGATTAATTACTTCAAATTTCAGAGACTGACAAGGGCACTTACTTCAGGTAGAGGACAGTAAAACTGGTGGATAGTGTGCATGACATCCAGTAGCATGTTGTGTCCAACAACAAGTTTGCCCTGAAGAAAGAGCCAATTATGTGTGAATGACTTTTCAAACTACTTTATAACAAAACAGGTTACAGAAAAAGCCCTGATACAGTTTTACTCGGTTTTCAATTCATTACATTTTAACTTCAACTAACATATTGAATCACAAGTATATTCTTTACAGTTCAATTATGTGATAATTATTTGGACAGTAGTGCTAATAGGTGGCAGCGGTATTTTGGCAGGCACCATGACTCCTAGAGTTTTGGTAAGCATAGCAAAACCATTTAAAATCTATTTTAAAAATGTAGGTAGAAAGTAATCAGTCTATCTTGACTGCTCCTTCTGTGGTTATGCTTTTTATCTTGTTAGAACCAAAACAAGAGCTACATCCTTTTTGAAAAAAAAGGAAATAACCCGTTGGAGGAGAGCCCGCACCAAAGGTCCAGAGTGCTCGGAAAAGATAGATGAGGAAGAGTGGAACAATGGTAGGGCAGCAGTAGAGCAATGCAGAAGGGGGGCAGTACTCCCCTGCCATTCTTCACTATACATCACCGCTGACTTAGAATCTCATTAACTGACACAGCAAATTGGCAGTATCCACTTTTTAAGATATTAATGAAGAGTTGTAGCAAAATCTCATATTAAAAGACATTTTAAAAATTAGATTACACTACATAAGGGGAAGTGAGGGCCCAATTCGGACTACCAAAGGCTTTTGGACCAACTTTGAAACCTTTTTATTTACTTTTTTTAATTTATTTTCTCTGGCCTAGACCTTGACTGCACCTTGACCAAGAAATCTGGACCTTGACAAAAAAATAATAGACTACTCCCAAACTACACTATTGTATATCAAAGCATTGCCACAACCAAAAACTTAAAGTTGTTAGCATGAGTTAAGTAGAGGCCTATACAGACACAAAATTTTTGTCCACAGATGCATACACCCGCAAAGCTGCAGGGCTCTAGTACGAACTGCAGCAGTGAAAACAGCAGCACGCTGGGCCACCACTCACAAGAGCCAACACCCAATCCAGGTAACTTCTTCAGTGCATATTTACCTGCCCCAGATCTGCACCCTGGATGTGCACCATACTTACTGAATGCTGCTTGAGGTCACAACATCTGCAAGCAACCCACATGCTCCCAGACACCAGACCAACATGCTGCTGGTTTTGACACTGGTTCATGGTAGAACCTAGCAGCTCCACAGATAAGCACTTTATATCCAAGCATACAAATTGTGTATCTATGCAGAGCTTTAAAGTTACATATATATGAGTCATAAGTCATTTTATTTGCTTAGCTGTATAATTTAACAGTAAAGAACCTCACACTCTTTGTGCATTAACAACTTTTTACCATAATAACATAGGGACTCCCTCTGAGACCTTTTCTACTCTGCTTATCCAGAATACTTCTAATTCTCTGGGATCTAAAATACTCAATTCAACTCAGATTTCATCACTAAGGTTCGTTTACTTGGCATATAGCAAAGCTACACTGAGCTTAGCAAACAAGAACAGAGGTTGGATGCAGGATGTATCACACCTCCAAATATTCATGGAAACCTTCATGTGTGCGCCCACACGTACATGTACACATACACACACTTGCATTTACTATACATCACATTTTTGTATTGGATTACTTGGCAAGAATGCTCTGTACATACATTATTGATGCTCATTC